CTCTCCCCTTCCCTCCTCCCCTCTCTCCTCCCACCCTACTCCCTACCCCCCCCACATACACTCTCAATTTACTCAGGAGATCTTGTCTCTTTCCCCTTCCTAGGGGAATCCATGTACAGAGACTTCTAAACAAACATTTTAACTAATGGATGCCTCAGAAAGACGCTCAAAGACAGGAACCTAGCAGTGTGGGGGTGCATGCCTGTAATCCCAGCATTTGGGAGACAGAAGCAGGAGGATCAGGAGGTCAAGGCCAGTCTTGGCTGTTGGAAATTTCAAGGCCTGCCTGGAAAAAAGAAAGAGAGAGGGGGAAGGGGAGACAGAAGCCAGGAGCATTTCCTAACCAATGCCTATTTCATGAGACCATCCCCATGGAAGTTTCTAGCTGGGCCTCTCTTGAGAACTTTATGATTTCGAGAAAAAAAGCAAGAGATAGAAATGGGGCATAGCCAGGGTGTTGGCACATGCCTTTAATCCCAGCACTGGGTATGATAAACATCTTTGTTCTCTATTAAATGCAGCTAGCCTGCCAAGGGCCAGTATTTCATGAATCTCCCCCACCTAGGAAAACTTTTACATAAAATTTATTTGTTTTTCGAGATAGGATTTTTCTGTGGCTTTAGAGACTCTCCTGGAACTCAGATCTGTAGACCAGGCTGGCCTCAAACTCACAGAGATCTACCTGCCTCTGCCTCCCAAGTGCTGGGATCAAAGGAGTGCACCACCACAGCCTGGCTTATGTAAATATTTTTAATTCCCCATACCTGGTAAAACTTTGGTCTAGACAACACCCCCTCTACTCTCCTCTACTCCCCTTTACTCCCTTCTACTTTCAGAAACTTGATGTCTTGGAGCTGTGGCCCCTTCCTTCTTTCATTTGCTTTTTGCCTATTCTTTCGAAACAAACTAGCCAATCCTGACTGTAAGGTTCATCTCCAGCTGGTGGGGAAAAGACAAAGTCACCACTGATGTTAGAATAGAACCCAAGTGAACTTCCTACCACACAGTGTGCTTGCTAGCCAGCTTGGGCTCTGGTGAATGGTTTTTGCAAAAAGAATTGGTCTTGCCTAGCTGCTTTTATTTTGTTCATGTATTCCTTTGTATAATACCAAGATCATTGTTTGTTTCAAACATCAGGAGGCAGAGACAGGCAGATCTCTGAGTTAAAGCCAGTCTGGTCCATAGAGCTAGTTCCAAACAGGCCAGGGATATATAGTGAGATCTAGTCTCAAACAAAACAAAGAGTGTGGTGGGGGGTTGTATTTGAGGTAAGTTTACCAGCAGTCTGTGGGGGGCTGTCCACCGAAGCTGCATTAAAGACCCCCCCAGACAGACCAAGAGGGGGTGACATGGGACATAAAATCATCTGCTATGGAGAGTCATTTGTGTTGAAGGGTGAATGGGTGCAACAAGCATAAAGAATTCAGAAAAGGATGTGGGGAAACAGGCTGGTTTAGAGCATACACAGGGAAGACTCTAATGTGCCAGGGTTAGAAAGTTTAAACCTTATCTGCCTGGCCCTAGTGCCTCCCAAGTGCTCAAAGCATTTTATTGTGCAAACAAATGAAAATGACAAGTGCACCTGGATCATGGTGCTGCAAAGAGGTTGGGGTTCAGAACCTGGCAGACTAGCTATATGACCTTTAACCTCTGTGACCTTTCATTTCTCACCCTCTGAGGCCTCAACAATAACTCTTTCTTTATAGGGTTGTTGTGAGGAATTAGACAAGATCAAAGCTGTGTGTCAACTAGAAATGTGGACCTAATAAATGTTAGTCACCCTACTCCTATCCGAATGATAACCGGAAGCCAGGTAACAAAGCTGAACTACTCACTAACTAGAGACAGTGAAGGCTGCTCCTGGGACCTGCTTGTGGAAGATGCATTGCTGCAGTTTTCAGCTATATAGGTCCTTGTGGGAAAAATTAGAGGTTTTGGTAACAACTTCCTTGAGCCAAGAGGAAATCATGGCACTGCTTTAATTAAAGGATAGAGTTGAAAGTGTCCTCCCTGGGAATTTAGGCATTCGGAAATTGATGTTTATAGTAATTTACAGTTTTTCCTCTTTCCTTGTCTGTTTCAGCATAGACACTGCAAGATCTTTGGATCAATATGCTATGGACTGGGGTCATCCATCACTACTGGAGTCTTCCCAGAGGCCCAGATGCCTACAGATTCTGATGGAATGTCCCTGAACCGGCTGCTTGCAGGGATGGGGAGTGCCTCAGCCTTCCCAGTAGACAAAGGTGGTTGTGGTGGCCTCTGAGACTTCAGGATATAGAGCAAAGGTGAGAGAATGGAGCAGAGTGGATAACTAGGTGAGGGATTCCAAAATCATCCCATCTAGGGATTATGACCATAGTGTATTTTAAAAGATATTCAGCCCCCATAATAGTCTGACATGAAGACAAATGCTATAACAATCCATGCCAGTGTCACACCAAATCAGGGGAAAAAAAGAAAACAGAGAAGGAAGAGGGGACAGCAGTAAAATCTGTATACACAGACTTTGACAAGAAAGAAAATTCCAGAGTGGTAAGCTTCTGGGGGAAGCACATTTGGCCCAGTTCTGAAGGCTGCAGAACATGAGGAAAGCAGGAACAGAAAGGTGTGTGTGTGTGTGTGTGTGTGTGTGTGTGTGTGTGTGTGGTGATGGGCCATCTCTATGTCACACTCTGCAAGAAGCAGCAGGAACACAAAGTGGAAAAGAAACAACCTCTGTCCTTCTATACTTTTTTAGAGGAAACAAATATCACTAAATGTAATGGGGCTGTAGGAAGCCAGAGGCAGTCCTTCCCAGGATCCAGTGGGGATACAAGCACACTCTGCAAGGCTTCACAGAGTTGGACATCTTCAGCTGCACATATCCTGTTCTCAGGCTCCCTCTGAAGATGGGTATCTAAGGCATGTTGTTTTATTTTGACCACTGTATCCTGTCGACTCTGAAATTGCCACACATATCTTTTCACGGGCTTGCTTGTGTTTGATCTAAAGTTGTGATGAATAAGAGGCTTTACTTACTGCCTAATTAAAAAAAAATCTAACTAAATATTACATTTCCCTTGTAAAAAAAATAATGATATAGATTAGTGTTTGTGCAGAAGTGTTGGTAACAGAACTCTTCAAAAGTTTTCCTTTGGGTGATGAAAAGCTCTTACATTATTTTGACTCGCTAATCAAATGTAATTGGGTAGCTAGAAGTGCCTTAGATTCTCCTTGTGCAGTTATCAAAGCAGGAAATGTAACTCACGGAGCTGATGAAAGGCAGCTCTCACGGTAAGATCTATAATTGAAAGAATGGCTCTGCTGCTAAAAATGCCGAGGTTTGAAATGCCCCTTCATGTTAACTGCTGTATTAGCTAGTTAACACATTATTATGTACTTTAATTGATTCTTACTCCAGCTCCGAGGGAAAAGAAGTCTGGATTTATTTGGCACGGAAATTAAGGGTGGGAAGATGCCTGGCTGCAAAAATATTGCTGTTTACACTACATTCAAGTCACACCACTTATCTGCAATGAAAACAATGTCCTGGTTCCTATTTGAGATGACATGCCTTTAAAAACAGTAATATCTAGTTGTGCTGAGAGATGACTAGAAATAGAAAAAAAATAAAAATCCTTCACTGAATCTTCAGCTTAAGACTAGCATGAGCAATATTATTCAAATGTATGCTAAGGTAAAATTTTCACACACACACACACACACACACACACACACACACACACACCAGACAATAACTCAGAACCTGGAAGTATGAGTTGGATTGAAACGAGGGGGCTGGATGGCCTATGCCTGTGGTTCAGGTGACAGCAGAGTGACTGGAAGGAAGTTCCCCCATGTTTACTTAGCTCAAGTTCCCAAAGTGAGGGATGAAAGGAAGACTTTCCAGCTCCGGGGTCACTTTGCTTCTGCACAGTATCAATTTCCTCATCCTTGAAATGAAGGAACCATGAATCACTGATAAGGTCTCCGCTCTACAGCAAGCATGAGACAATGTATCAGGGCCTCTCTGCAGGGTGTCAACCTCACCAGAGGGTGCAGCTGGTCCCACTTGCGGCCCCACTCGTGCCTTGCCCCAGCTCCTATTTCTGCTCCCCACCTTTAGGGCACTGTCTGAGGCCACAAGGAGAAGGTGGAGTGGAGGGCCATCTACTAGACCTAGGCCTCCACAGCCATGGTTTGCCTCAAGTCACTAGGAATGTCCTTGACTTTGAGGTCACAGGACCATCACAATTTCCCCTCAGGAAAATCTCTAGGGAGCATTTAAAGGTTTAAAGGGATCCAAATACCAAAGTGTTATCCCAATTTTGGGTCGAGCAGCTGAATGATCTTGGACAAATTAATCCAAGGCGATTAAATCCTGCTTCTGGGCAACCCAAAGGAATTTGCCACATGTCTTTCCCGCCTCTTTCTCTCCTCAATCCCAGATACCTCCCTGATCCAAGGCAGGGTCTTAGAGAGCTAGCAGAGAGCGGGCAGGGGTGTGTGTTGGGGGGATGGCGGGAGGGGGGACGCTTGG